CAGTCGTCTATCGCAGCACGAACGAGGTCCATGTCAATATCGGCGGCTGCCTTAATCAAGGATATCTTGAGTGACTCCAAATTGGGATGAGGCTTTGAGCACGCCTTTTCCTCCACGTGTTGCCATATCTTGTAATCTAACGGATTCAAATCTGGACTGGAGGAGGGCCAGTCTTCGTGCCGGATGAAGTCTATTTCACGCGCCACCAACCAGTCTTGTGTGCTCTTCGCTCTATGAGCTGGCGCCGAATCTTGTTGGAATACCCAGTGCCTGTTATTCAGCATAGTATGAGAAACAGGTTCCACAAGGTTCGTCAGGACTGTATTTTGATACACAACTGCATTCGTTTTTACACCTTTCTCACAAAAATGTACCTCTGTTAAGCCTCAATAAGAAACTCCCAACCATACCATGAGCGAGGATGGAAAATGACCACGTTGGACACGCGGAATACGGTTGCTCGCTTCTTCACTACTGTGTGCGTACACCTTATCATTTTGTTTGTTGTAGCTCTCTTCTACGGTAAAAATTTTTTCATCCGAAAAAAGAATTTCCCGATATTTTTTTCCCGCGTACCGCTTCAACAAAGCGCGGCATCTCTTCAGTCTCAGGTCCATTAGACGAGCATTCAAACGATGTCCTGTTTTTCTTCGATATGCCCGAAGCCCTAAGTCTTCATTTAACACCCTTTTCACCGTGGTTCTGCTTAACCCCATCTGAAGGGCGAACAGTTTCTGCTTACGTTTGGGATTTCTTTGAATTCGCGCCTTCACAGCTTTTATCACTGCTGGAGTCCTAACAGACCGAGGGCGACCACTTCTTGACCTGTCATCTACATTAGAGTCTTCATTGTATCGTTTGATCGTACGATAAACGAATCTTTTGGTTATAATCAAATTTTTCAGTATGTCAAAAATTTGAATTGGCGCGTAACCGCAACGATGCAACGCAATAACTGCAACACGGTCTTCTTTAAGCGTCCACTCCATATTTAAAAATGAGTAAAATTCTAAAAAGTATACAGTTTTATTTTCATGAACAATTCGAAATTCGAATTCAATAAACTTTTTTGTGGCCAGCATTCTAAAAGAAAAGTTTTTACTGTGTGACAATACTTATGACCTGACTAGGTATAATACAAATTCTCTGCCACTTTAAAGTATATTAGCTTTAAGTGATTTTCTTTCCATGCACATAAGAAAAAAAAAGTTTTGCAATATATTAAAGGTACAGAGGAAGAGTCTTGTAAACAAACTTAAGTGTGGAGATTGTATCGCAGTTTTGCATTCTCAGCATAATGATGTAAAATCGTTAATATATATTTTTTATAGGATAGGGTGACAAACGAGCACACAGTCCACCTGATGGTAAGTGGCTGCTGTGGCCCATAGACATCTACATCTATCCTCGATTACGAATCAAAATGCAGATGCGGTGCCACCCTTAAGGACTAAGATGGAATGCCTCGTTTCCAGTAAAAAGGGTTTCCGGTTCTCCACACTCACCATACGAAACACAGGAGCGTTAAGCTATTTTACGCTGGTATTCTGTGAGAGCGTGGTCCTCCCCCGGTCGAGCCGACCCATTCGTGCTACAACTATACTATTAATATATCTGCAGCATGGCTCTACCACGTATAAAATTTAACCTCTTTTATCTTTATAAAGATCTTTATATCTTTATAAAGATAAAAGAGGTTAAATTTACCCATAAAAAGACGTGATGGATGAATGTTTATTTTGTGAAACAATATTAAAAGTAAATATAAAATCTAAAAATCTTAATAAAAACAAATCACAATTTTATTTTTAAAAACGTTACCTCCACGCTAGGATTTTCTCATGTATCGCGGGGGCAGTTTACATACATAGATTTCACAAGTACAATCTCCAGACCCAGAACAATTATTTGTAGGCCATACAAATACTTGTTCCGTGAGGGAATCGAACCCGCGGCCCTTAGCGCTGCAACTCATTGCTAAGCCACTGCGCCACGGAGCTGTCAATTAACTGTCACCAGGATCTTAAATAATTTTTAGTCATTTTTGTTTTGTTACGCTAAAGAAGTATTACTTCCTACGTGCGTACGTAAGTACACAACACTTTTTTTTATCATCATCATTAATACAGCCATTCGAAATTTCACAGGTGAACATAGGCCTCCCACAAGGCATTATACAAAGTACGGTTCTGAGCCGCATGCATGCATCGACTTCCTCCATATATTACGAGGGTGTTACTCCATTTAGTGGGGGAGCGCACTATATTCCGGTTGTCGGTACGAGGCTGCCACTTTAGAACTTTTCTACCTTATCGGTTAGTCAGTCGAGCTATACCTACAGCTGAGGCATTGCCATTTCAGCTTATCGAGTTTTACTGCAGATATCATCATAAACGAGGCTACCTCGTACAGAATTTTCGAGCAGAGCTCCCTAACTGATCTTAAATTTTCTTAAACGGCCAGCAGTGAAGGACCACTTCTCAGTTGTGTGATGTCTTTTATATATAAAGTAACAACTAAGCAAATGTGTCAGATGTAGAAAGACTATACACATCAAGCCAGCCATTCGCATTCAATCTTATTGTTTAAAGTTATTTGAAAACTTAACAATATGATATAGTATGGGTTTGGGTGCAGTGACAAAGGAACACGTAAAACACTATGACGAAATTAAATCAAAACTGAACAAACTGAGTCGAAGCGTTCTGATTGTAAACAAATATTCAAGATATATGATGAATAAATACGAACGCCACTACGTCGCTATAATAACTTCTCACTGTGATCACTTTTAATAAGACTTTACGTAAATTTATTGGAGCGAACCACACGTGACCTATATTTAAACCCTTTGTAATCAATCTGTCTCATTCGTTCTCATTAAGTCAGCGGGGCGTTCGTACTTTAAGCTGATTCGAACGTTATCTAACGGATGCATAATTATAGGTACATTTCCTTCACAATAAAGAGAAAAAATGTGGATTTCATTCATCTGTTTGCTGCAGACGTTATTTCGTTTTCAAAGACTGTTTATTATAAACTATTGAAATTCTGTAGAGTTACAATAGTTACGTAGATTGAATAGGATTTAAAACAATTACAGCATTACTTGAGCTTGACACAAGCAAATGTAGCAGCGAGGTATTTAGACAACAGCCCACGCTATCTCTATCATATACAAACCTACGCAAAACGGTGTGTAATTCAATGTATACATGGAATCTACCAGGAAAACATAATAACGAATCAGAAAGGATTGTGCTGTGCCTTCGCCTTATGCCGCTTCTGTATAATTTGCGCTAGGCAAGGCGAAGGCACGGCACAGGCGCGGCGCAAGCGTGGAACGGGCATGCCTGTGCCTGTACATTTTAAATGAAAAAGTTTTGAAGAGGCACCATGCCTGCGCCGCGCCTGTGCTGTGCCTTCGCCTTATGCCGCTTCTGTATAATTTGTGCTAGGCAAAGCGAAGGCACGGCACAGGCGCGGCGCAAGAGTGGAACGGGCATGCCTGTGCCTGTACATTTTAAATGAAAAAGTTTTGAAGAGGCACCATGCCTGCGCCGCGCCTGTGCTGTGCCTTCGCCTTATGCCGCTTCTGTATAATTTGCGCTAGGCAAGGCGAAGGCACGGCACAGGCGCGGCGCAAGCGTGGAACGGGCATGCCTGTGCCTGTACATTTTAAATGAAAAAGTTTTGAAGAGGCACCATGCCTGCGCCGCGCCTGTGCTGTGCCTTCGCCTTATGCCGCTTCTGTATAATTTGCGCTAGGCAAAGCGAAGGCACGGCACAGGCGCGGCGCAAGAGTGGAACGGGCATGCCTGTGCCTGTACATTTTAAATGTAAAAGTTTTGAAGAGGCACCATGCCTGCGCCGCGCCTGTGCTGTGCCTTCGCCTTATGCCGTTTCTGTATAATATAAGGTTTTTTCTTCTATAGAAGAGAGAGCAAACGAACATGTGGCTCGCCTGATGGTAAGGACTACCACCGCCTGTTAAAATGGAGTAGGCACATATTTCGAAGGTCCCTAAGTTTTTTTTATCAAACTCTGATGCAGATGTCCTTGTGAAGGTTGACCTAAGGAATGCTTTTAACTCTATCGATAGGGTAACCTTGCTGAAAGAAGTGGCTAACAATACCCCCGAAATTTATCATTACGTTTGGCAATGTTATAGTCAAAATACTAACTTGTTTTACGAAAACCATGTTATCGATTCTGCTGTTGGTGTTCAGCAGGGTGACTTACTGGGTCCAGCACTTTTCAGTTTGGGAATTCAACCCATTATTTCAAATTTGAAATCCAAGCTGAATGTCTGGTACCTAGATGACGGTACACTGGGAGGTAGAGCAGATGACGTCCTCAGCGATCTTACTCATATTTTTCGAAATATTAAAAATATTGGCCTTGAACCAAATAGCAATAAATGTGAAATATTTTTTTCCAATAATTTATCTACTTCTCATAGAGACACTTTAATTCAAAATTTTAATCATATTTGTCCAGGAATAAAAACTGTCAATACGGAATCACTATACCTGCTAGGTGCCCCGTTGTTTTTCGATAGTATTAAACCTGTTTTAAAAACAAAATTTGATCAGTTTTTAAACCACGTTGATAAATTGTATAAATTAAACCCCCACATAGCTCTTACTATTTTAAAATATTGTCTTCTTGTACCTAGATTTACATACTTACTCCGCTCGTGTCCAGTCTGGAAATGTTCGGATATTTTACAAGATATTGATAATAATCTTAAAATAGCTATAGAAAAAATTCTAAATTTAACTTTAAATACAACAGCCTGGACTCAAGCTACTTTACCTATAAAATTTGGTGGCATTGGTGTGAGAAATCTTTCTAGCGTTGCATTGCCTGCTTTCCTTGCTTCCGTGCATAGTGTCAGTGACTTATGTAACATAATTTTAAATAATAAAGTAGACCTATGCTTTGCTACGGAGGCAGGGCAGATATGGCAAATGCTCTGTCCTGGTGAAAATATTCCACTGGAAGTTAACCAACAAAAACAGTGGGATATTCCGTTGGTACAGGGCGTGCAGAAGGATTTGTTTCATAATTTCCATAGTGACCAAGATAAGGCACGCCTTCTAGCTGTTTCGACTAAGGAATCTAGTCACTGGTTACACGCTTTACCATCAAGTAATCTCGGCACATTACTTGATAGGGAAAGCTTGCGCATTGCCGTAGGAATCCGACTAGGAGCGGCGATTTGTCAACCCCATCAGTGCCCCTGTGGGAGCAGCGTTGACAAGTTTGGGCTCCACGGACTTTCATGTAAGAATAGCGCTGGTAGGTTTTCACGACACAGTTCTTTGAACGATGTCATCCGAAGGGCTCTTGCCTCTGTAGATGTTCCCTCGGTTTTACAGCCTTGTGGAATATTTAGAGACGATGGCAAGAGACCCGACGGTATGACATTGGTACCTTGGGAGAGAGGTAAAGCCCTAGTGTGGGATGCTACTTGCGTAGACACTCTAGCGGCCTCTCATCTCAGGGGCACCTCGTTTAAGGCCTGGGCGGCATCAGAGGCAGCTGAACTGAGTAAGTGGCGCAAATATGAGTCTCTGAGAGATGACTACATATTTGTGCCATTTGCTGTAGAGACTATCGATCCGTGGGGTCCACGTGCGGTGGAGTTCCTAAAGGAACTCCATCCGCGGCTGGTCGTTGCTGCTGGTGATAAGAGGGCTGGTTCTTTCTTCGCTCAAAGGCTAAGTATAGCCATTCAGCGGGGATACGCAGCCAGCGTTCTTGGCACGATACCGCGGGGAGTAGGACTATATGATAATTAAGTTTCTAGTTTTAGTTTTTTTTTATTATCATAGTTTTTAATATTGTAAATAAAATTAAGTATTATGTAGAATTTTATCATTAAAATTTACAAAAAAAGTTGTATTGGTATTAAAAAAATGGCTGGTGGTAGTCGATTTCAGAAGCAAATCGTGCGAATGATAAGGATTTTGGTAAAATGCACATTGGTTGACCACCCAGCATTCAGATGAAAGTAACTTATTTTGATTTTATTGCTATTGGGATGTAATCAGAAAAAACAATGATTAATATCTTGAAATGTAATTTAAGTTCTTGTGCCGTGTAGTGGCGGTAAGAATATCAACTACCTTATATATCGTGCCGTGGGTAATAAGAGGCTAGATAGGGAAACTGAAACAGGAGATAGGCATCAGCATCTGCTTGATAACAACTCTAAATTATTAAAATCTGCGGTTGCCAACCCGCCTGCCAAGTGTGGCAACTATGGCAAAATCCCCCATGAATCAATCTGTGGGGGTTTTTGTTCAACTGTAGACTTTAATACGCTGTAATAGATGGATGGAATTTAAGTTGAAGATAATGTAAACCCTGTAATGAAATTAAACGTCATCGTTTCCCATCATTCACATTCCGATGCCATTCGTTCTAAAATTCACCCCATTGTAATTTCGCAACGCGTGTGCTCGCGATAGAGCACCCAACGGAAAACGCATGCGCGGTATTGGCGCGGATTTTTTTCCCGTCAGTCAGCTGTCAAGCGCACAGGGTGGTCTGTGCCTTCGACAGTTTTTTTTATCACAAATCAGTTTTATTATGTTACAAGTGTGTATTTGAAGAAGTTTTAGTAATGTTTAGCAACAACTTGCATAGTTTTTGCTATTATTTACCGAAATTATCGATGTGTTTACGGCACGAGCAAATTTATGCAGTGATTTCCTTCTGAAATTTACTTTTTATAGTTGTTTTTGATTTTGCTGTGTCTTTGTGTGTAAACTACATAGTGGAGTTGGCTGATATCAGACGTAAACCACCTTTAGCTTAAAGGTTTGTAATTTATTATTTATTTCTATATAAATTCAGTAATATTAATTGTATAGCTAATTTAATGTTTAAAATCAGTTTATGAAAATAATTAAAGATGAAATCGCTTGCAAGAAATAAAAAATTACGTAAAATAATAACATTACCGTGGCATCTAAAAAATAAAAAAGAAAGAGAAACAGCTGATAGACAACAAATAAAGGCTATATAATGTGCGTTGGCACTCATATGATAAAGATAGCATCCCTCGTAGCCTGAGCCTGTTTTTAAATATATTGATGTATTATACCATTGACCATGTATATATACCTATAAATATCAAACCATACACTTGTGTGTATTCTTTACCGAATGGTCAAAATATGCAGAGTAAAATGAAATGCAGGTTGCGTGCAACAATAAACTGTATTTTCAATAATATATTATTAAAGAGAACGAATAGTTTCGTGACATTCTCCGAGTGATGGTGGTGGAAAATAATGAATCACCCTATTTCGTCCCGAGGATGCCGTAAGAGGCGAATAGTCACTTCTTACCACGGGAATCCCAGAATGACTCACAGTGCCGATATGGTATGGGTATAACAAAATGCCAAACGTAAAATAGCCAGAGCGGCGACGGGCAGCAGCGTTAACGGTGCGATGTCTGGTACTTACTGCGATTGCCAATTTTGCCAAGAGTGACCATTTTTTATAGAACTAGGTTAACAAATGAGCACACAATACACGTGATGGTAAGTAGATGGATGGGTGGTAAGTGGATATTGCCCTTAAGGTAATTTATAAGGCTAGGTAAATCAGGGCAATCTAGTACAACGTTGACTTTTTTGCATAATAACATACAACCAATCAATAATCTACGATGCTCTAACCGATGACCTATCCTCGAATACGAATCAAAATGCTTATGCATTGTCACCCCTGAGGACAAAAATGGAATGCCTCGTTTCCAGTAATTTTTACTGGATCTCTGGAATCTCTGTCTCTACACTCACCATACCAAACACAGTAGCATTAAGCTGATATATTTACCCTGGTATTTTGTGAGAGCGTGGAAGTCTGGCCGAGAGATTCGTGCTACAACCATATTATGGCGAATCCTTTCAGTAAGGAAGAGGTCCATGTCTAGCAGTGGAATTTTACGGGCTGATGATGATAAGAAGAAGAAACACCCATTACAATACTTAATGATGTGTTCCAGATGTCGTGTCACTTACGCCATTCAGTTACCGTTACAGCCAATTAAAATCCAATACTGAACATAGGCGTCCTGCATAGATTACCTCATAGGAGGGATATTTGTCATAGTTGCCACGCTTGGCAAGCGGGTTGGCAGCCGCAGATTTTTTAGTTGTTATTAGGAAGACGCTGCTGCCCATCTCCTGATTTGTTTCCCTCTGTCGCCTCTTATAACAGCCACGGGAATATACAGGGTTTCTGGGTACTCGACAACTTCCTGGCATCTACATATATCCTCGATTAAGAGTCAAACTGCAGATGCGTTGTCACCCATGAGGAATGAATGCACATTGAGGATGGAATGCCTCGTTTCAGGTAAAAAAATGGTCTGGTGTCCTCTACACTGATCATACGAAATAGTCTACACTGGATACTGTGAGAGCGTAGTCCTTCCCCAGTCGAGCGGACCCATTCATCATACAACCACAATATTGCTGCAGCGTGACGGCGTGTGATGCCTTCCTTGTTCGAAGTTGGTTGCAGGAGTCCATGCACTCCACTGACTGACTTTTCTTATTGAAAGTTATTTCTTTTACTTTCAATAAGAAATGGCTTTCAATAAGTATTATGTATTATAATTTATATTGAATAAAAATTATGCTATTCTATGCTATTTACCATCAGGTGGACTGTTAGCTCGTTTGTTTCTTCGATTTTATTTTTAAAAAAAACATGTGTCAATGTCGTAATGGTGGTAAACCACGATAAACTAGTACTACAAAAATATGCAATGTAATAAATTTAAATATTTTAATTTGAAAAAAAAAATACTGTAGCCATAGATTCCGTGAAGTGTCTGGGCGGCTTTGGCCCTTTTTTTAAATCGGTCTGTAGCCGCGACGGCACGTTCTCTAACAAAAAAAAAATTAAAAACTTTAAACTCGGGGTCCCGCTAAAAATTACAAAACGTTTTCTTTAAAAAAAATATTATTATCGCGAAATGCTCAACGTTTTATGAGCATTGATTATTCAACAAGAAATACAATATGTATGTGCAAATTTAAGTACCATGAAATTGGATACATATTAAACATCTGTTAGTTGTAACCGTCAGAATATCCATTACATCATATCATCCCATGGGTGTCGTATGAGGCGATAGAGGGAAGCTCTACCAGAAGCCCAACTTCTGTTAACAGCTGAATAAAAAAAAACTGTGATTGCCAACCCGCTTGCCAAGCGTGGTAACTATGGCTAATATCCTCCTTATGAGGCAATCTATAGGACGGCCTATGTTCAGCGTTGGACTTTTAATGGGCTGCAATGGAATGGTTCATCATCATCATCATCATTACAGCCCTTCACAAGTCCACTGCTGAACATAGGCCTCCCCCAAAGAATGCCACAAAGCACGGTCCTGAGCCACCTGGAATGGTTATCAAGTAGCAAAATGTATCAACGTTTTCGGCACGTTAATGATACATCTGTACTGTAAATGTTGGACACGTCTATGTTAGGGATGGACATTTAAAATATAAATCGATGTTTTTTCCGATGTAATGCAACGATCGGTTGCATCTGTGTTAATATCGTATTAACATCGCTGCAACCGATCGTTGCATATCCTCGATTACGAATTAAAATTCAAATGCGTCGTCACCCCTGAGGGCTAAAATGGAATGCCTCGTTTGTTGTAAAAAGGGTCTCCGGTTCTCTACACTCACCATACGATACAAAGCAGCGTCATGCTGCTATTTTACGCTGGTATCCTGTGAGAGCGTGGGTCTTCCCCGGTCGAGCCGATCCATTCGTGCTACATCTATACCAGTAATATAGCCACAGCATGCTCTACCACGTATAAAAGAACTTAATATTTTTCCCTTCGATTGGATGTAGATGTCTATGGGCCACAGCAACCACTTAAAATTAGGTGAACTGTATGTTCGTTTGTCACTCTATCCTATAAAAAAAAATCAATAGCACTGGTTACATTTCGTAAAGATATATGCACACCTCTAGCATCTGACCGGTCAGCAGACGAAACTAACTGACCCTGAAATATTCTTCCTTTTTGAAGTCGGTTGAAACTTGAGTTTTGTTGTGAACAGAAAAAGAGTACGGAACCATTGCGCCCGGCAAAAGTTCTACGTTTAGGGAAGCAGGTAGCTACGGTGAGGGGTCCCGCTGAGCGTTTTCGACCTTCACAATACCATTATTAAATGAACAATAGCAGCCAGTGGTTTGTTTTGACGGCGATTCGAACGCCTTCGTTAAGTAGGATAAAATAATAAAACCGCATAAG